AGTAATTATTATGCTTATCGATGAACAGAGACAAATCGCACCCTATCATGAACAAATTATATATGTACCCAAACGTGATTGTGGAGCAAAATTTAATATCTATTTACTCCATCCACATCAACCAAAAAACTCTTCCGCTAACTATTCTATACACATTGATCTTACGTTTAATTTTTTGAAATAATTTATTGCGCTCCTTAGTCAAACTAATAGTAGCGTTCGATATTTTAAACAATATGATTTTTTTACTAGAAATTTACTTTTTTTGGTACATAGTTTTCGACACATTTAGAAAGATGTTTTAACTATAAATCGAATGCTGAGTCAACGCCAGTTGAAAGATAAAACATAGGTTCTAAATGGGACACAGCGCGACGAAGGGCTTGCCCATCACAGTTTTCAAAATCCGAGACTAATTTTGAAGGTGTTAATGCGGAAGGGATAGCTGAATGGAACTTGTTGATAAGCACAAAATGGGGGGATTTCCCGAGTTCGGATTTTGTTGTTGTCGCAGCAGAAATTAAAATTCAGTAGAATTTAAAATTCTACTAGTTGAAATTAAAATTTCATTTTCTACTAGGAGAAATTAAAATAAGCGGCGGTTTTAAGTTGCACTAGTAGAAATTGAAATTTTAATCTCTACTATAGGAGAATTTTAAACTGTACTAGAAAGTTTAGATAACGGAAGTATTTTAATTTCTACTGTAGTAGAAATTAAAATACACAGTTAGACGGATGATGATATGTACAAGCACATGCATTATTTATTAGTAAAGGAGACAACAGCACAGGAAATTGTTGAATATAGCAAAGAGTTTACATCTATTTATTTGAACAGTGTTTTTTTTTTAGCAGGATAGCATTTTGTACCACATGGTACTTTAGCTGCTTTGCATGGACATGTTTTTGTAGCACAACCACTAGTACAAGCACAAGTTTCTACAACTGGGTTAACACCACTACTAACGTAATCTTTACAAGCTTGAATAAATGTTTGTGTTGGTAATGTTTGAGAATCAAAAGCAGGAAATTCCGAGAAATTACATTTTGTTAAGTCTATGAGATCATTAACACTATATCTTGAAGATAGAACACATTTTGTTGTACAAAGACGATAGTTATGCATATTATCAGATGATGATTGTATTGAAATGACTTTACACGGTAAAATTTTCAGTGTTGTGTTAGTTCTATCAGCTTTATCAATTTTTAAGCCAGCCAAATCTCCAATTTGGTATTGTCGTAATTTTTGAGCATCATCATATAGTCTTTGTCTTTTAGCGATTGTTTTCAAATAAGCTTCTTCAGCTTCATCTCGGATTCGTTTATGTCTATCCGGTGTTGAACTATTATTATCACCACTATTACTATTTGTATTGTCAGTTGAAAATAAAATTGAAGGAAAACATGAAACTAACAAAGAAAAGACGATTTGACTTCAAAGGAATACGTTATACCGTTTTACCTTCTTCATGATTCATTGCATTACAACATTTAGCAACTTCATCTGATTCTCTATCGTTCCCTTTATGGCAAATCGAATTTAGTGATAATGGTGAGTACGATCGTTCAAAATCAGTTGTTGTAGTTGGTGAGATAGTAGTATTAGTTAATTGTATTGCGTCAGATACACTTGGAACAGCCGTGGTCACTTCTTTAGCACGTTGAGTGGGTTGAGAAACAAGGTCACTTTCACCACAAGCAACTAGAACCGCCCAGAAAATCTATGGTTTGACGAAAATTTAGAGTAAAACATTTTACCCTCATTCAAATAGTATTTTATATCATCTTTTTTCTTTGATTGTATTATGAGAAGTTTAGGTTAAACATTAAAACTCTTTTTACTTTCTTTCTTTTCTTTCTACATATCATCCGTCTAAATGTGTATTTTAATTTCTACTACAGTAGAAATT